TTATAGTCTTACTGAATTTCAAAAATATATTAGTTGATTTTCTATACTTTTTCCAAAAACTCTTAGTGTGTGGAAGTATGTATGTGATTTTATGTAAGTTTTTAATAATGGATTATATTTCAAGTGGTATTTATTAGAACTGCTCATTACAACTAAATCTTGGACTATTTATGATATTGTGAAAATGAATTTCGGAAATTAAAAAAAAAATGTATATATAATTTTTTTATTATTTTACACCTTTTACGGACCGAAAGTAACATATGCCACCCACTTACTATATTAAAAGTTTGGAATTTTTCGAAGAATGGCCAAAGATCGGTAAACGTGATCGAAAAGTTCACCTCCATAGCTTTCTTGATGCGATAGGCGTAAACAAAAGTATACCACGCCAGGTTTTTCCCAGTTGCGCAGTTTGCATATATAAAATAAATGTTTGCCATGGTGATGGAAAATATATGTTTGAGCAAACAAAACTTTTGCAAAAATCAATCTGAAAAAGGATAGCATATCGGAAATCAGCATCTCAAGTATATCACAAAACGATTCGTAATAATTTTTTTCACCTAGCTTGTTCTACGCGCCACACTGTGCGACGTCAAAAAAAGAGAAGGAGGTTATCAATTCGTCGGAATATTTATATTTTTTTATGTATGTTGCCGAATAACCTTAAATCACGTGAAACGTTTTCGGTAATTCCGATCATTGGATCATGAAGAAACTAATGGTATTCCTAAATATTTATAAATGTGCATTCAAATCGGTTGTTAAACTATTAATAAAAAAAATTAATTATCTAACTGGTTATTATATAAATTATCCTTCAGGTGTGATAAACGATCCCCAATCGATAGAAACGGGGCGAAAATTATGGGGTCAGGCATTGTCACAAGGAATTTCCGTCGCTGCATTCGAGATTACTAAGGAGGATGCAGAACCAACGCTTGCTGGTATGAATGTGCTTGTTTACGTTGACGAGGAGACGGATAAGGCGATGAAATCACTGGAGGTAAATTCACAGATTTTTTCGAAATTTTATTTAATTCACGAGTGTTGGTGATTACTGTGAGGCTTTCTATTTACCTGATTCTTAGTTAATTGAGTTGTACACTTCATTTTAATCCTAATCACTGGGGCTAGGAATCTCATGCACTAAAAAATCGAAAATATGCGCATATAATATGCACTCAAAATTCAAAATAATGCACTGTAAACATGTAAAATATGCAATTACAAATATTTTCCTAATATTTTATTGCCGGTGCTAAAATAAGTAACACATTTACATACCGAGCTCTAACCGCCAAAAAGATGGAAGCGACATATTTTTCAAAATTTTCTTTTTTCGTAAACGCATTTTTACATAATTTTTTGCTGCCATTCTGTAGGGTATACTCCAAAATTACAAAAACTTTACTTGGTTTTTGTAAACTAAAAAACACGGTTAGACTGCGATCAAACAAAGTTACACTTTCAAAACATTGTTTACGCAACCGGTTTAGTTTTAAGTTTCAAGTGCATTTTTTTTATAAAGTTCGAATAATTAAAGGAAAACTTTAAATAGAAAACAAAAATATAATTATTTAAGTGCCTATGTCCCAATTAAACAAGTAAGAGCAGCACTTTAACAGATAACTGCATTTGAAAAAAATGTATATATTCACAACATACATAGATAGAGGAGTTACATATATAAAAAATCATATCTAAACAATCAGAGGTATGGAAGATATACCTTATATAGCACCAATCTAAGCGATTTTCACTGCTGTGTGATTGGTATGTAAACCGGTAACCCAATTTAATGGGTTTAGCTTCCTACATAAAGGAGATATATCGCAAAAAGTGGTATCCGAACAATCAATGGTATTTTCTCAGTAGACTTTGTATTATTATTTATAAAATAGCTTAAGAAATCTTTTACCCCGGTAATGTATTGGTTTTTATTGACAATTTTGTAAGTGTATTGGAGAATGCGTTAGGTCAGTCTTGCTGTGGTGAGATAGCACTATTTGAATATACATACAGACATAAGTCCTCGATTTACATTTATGTATGTATGAGCTGTAAAAAAACAGCGATCGAATTGTTTGATACGCAGGGTAAATCGAAATTTGCGGATCTCTTACGCTATGTGATGACAGTTTCTGCCCTAGCGGACCCTCGGAAAATCTACATGGTCGATAAATATCTAAGTGCTCTTGGATTGAGTGTAAAACCTGAATACCGGCGACTGGGATTGGGTCAAAAGCTGTTGGAATTGAGGTGACTAGATTTGGTCACTGCGACGTCAACAAAAGTTTAATCTTCTTTTATTTCTTATCAGAGATGGAATTGGAAAAAAGTACGGTATCGAGTATACATCAACGGTGTTTTCGAGTCCAACTTCTCAGAGTCTAGCAAAAAAAGTCGGATTCAAGACAGATTTGGAGTGTCCTTACGAGGAAGCACTCCATGAAGATGGAACTCCTTTACTGCCGACACTCAAAGGAAAGAGTTGTAAAATTATGAGTAAACGCATCGCTTGAATGAACTGTTCCAGTCGATAAATAAGATAATTTAGGTTGACGAAAGAAAGCTCACACGAAAAAATTGTGGTTAAAAATATTTATTACCTGCATACCTGCGGGTTTCTCCCGACGTTTTCATACAAATATAAAAAAAAATTTAACGATGTTATATTTTATTTCACTGTCCATTTTTGGAAATATCGAACATCCACGGCTTTATCCGGGATAGTAAATGGTTTGACAGACTTTATACTGACATTATGGATTAACCTCGGTTAGAAGGATGTGCCTCCTCCTGGCACTCACAGAGGGCATTCACAATGGGCAAACTTGACTGTCCATTGTAATTCTTCAATTCTTGAAATAAACTGAGTTAAAAACAAAAAAATTAACTCTAGTTCAATTTCTTTTTTTTGTTTTTTCGAGCATATTTGTAAGCATATTTGCCAATCGGGTTTTCTGAAATACGAATCATAAGTTGTTGGTGCAATAGAGCCTAGAGAGCATACCACAAATTTGAGGAGGAGCTCTTGCCATAAACTTAGCAAAAGCGTAAGCGCCAAAATATAATTATTATATTAGCCGTTTATTTTTAACCGACTTCCAAAAAAGGAGGAGGTTATCAGTTCGTCGGATTTTTTTTTTTTTATGTATGTTACCGCATAACTTTGGACCACGTCAACCGATTTCGATAATTCTTTTTGCATCGGAAAGGTAGTGTCTCAGAGGTGGTCCCATACTAATCTGGTTAAGAAATAAGATGGAAAAATTACTTGTTTCCCTATAAAATGTGAACAAATAATGCGTACACAACTATCAGTAAACGCCAATGTCGTAGTTATCCGTTTTGGTATATTTTACGATTTGCCGATAACGACAAGTAGTCAGATAGATGGCCAATTTAGTGCACGCGCTCGGCGCAAATTTTGAGGGCGAAACGATAACGCAACCAGTGTCGCCACACATGGGCTTTTCCTACCAAAACTGGTATTTTTTTTCAGTGGTAGGTTGGTAGGCTAGATTGGATTTTGGTAGGTTCCGTGACCATTTTATTTTTATTTTTATTTCGCGGGCAGGGGGTCGAAAACCCCTATTGCATTATCAAAGCTGTCATCACAACAATGGTTTGTCCGGAAACTAAAACACTCCCCCCGAATTGGAACCGTCGCCCACCCTGGGACCACTAATCGCATTGCTCCAGGGTGGCGTTCCATATTTCTCATTAACTAAAGTTCCCTCGGTGCATGTGCGTCCAGCTCCCGCTTCTTGAGTCTAAGTAAGTATTCTGCATATTTAACTATGTTCTTCTAGTTAGTTTCGCTATGTAGCATGGCTTGGATGACGTTATCTGAGTTAATTGGTCCTACAAGGTCTTGCAGATTATTGCGCTTGGATTCGTTTGCGCCATAAGCTCCCACATTTTCTTGAGTTCGGCTGCTAGCAGGTGAATGGGAACCGTTCCGCTTATAACTAGTATTGTACGGTACGTAGAGGCTACTCTTAAAGCTGATGTGCGATGGGCTCTACAAAGTATCTTGCAACGGCTATTTTTATGTAAGGTGTCAGACCAGATCTCCGTTTTTCTTTTACTTTGGGTCGGTCCACCAATATTGGCCATTAATCTGCTTAGGTAAGCCGTTGCCTTTGCTGATTTTGCGTCTGCGTGCTGCATTTGTGCCCAATACGTTAGTCTGGGGTCTAGTCTTACGCCTAAGTACTTTATTACTCTTGGCGTATTTAATATAATGCCGTTCAGTTTCATGCTCACTTCTTAGGGAATATGCTTCTTGGTTAGGAATATTAGCTCGGTTTTCACTGCTGCAAGTTTAAGGCCGTGTGAGTCGAGCCATGCCTGTGTTCTTATCATAGTCTGGTTTAATTTGTGGCGGGCATCTTCGGTGTCTCTTGCGGTGATCACTGCGGCAATGTCATCAGTGGCAGATCGTTCGGCTTCAGTTCTTGCACGAGCTGTATTTTATACGGTTTTACACCAAGATCTTTGCGTAAAATCTTCCATGTGGTCGAATAACACAAACCCAATTGCTGCGAACGGCGACGAATCGACATTTCACGGTCTTCAGCAACACTCTCAGAAACAGACGCAATATTCTCTTCTGTACGCACTGTACGCATTCGTGTGGTTGGTTTAATGTCCAATAAAGTAAACTGAGTGCGAAACTTGGTCACAATCGCATTAATTGTTTGCTCACTTGGTCGATTATGTAGACCATAAATCGGACGTAAAGCGAGAAACACATTTCGAACCGAACACTGATTTTGGTAATAAAATTCAATGATTTGCAAGCGTTGCTCGTTAGTAAGTCTATTCATGATGAAATGTCAAAGCATACTGAGCATCTTTCTCTTTGACACCATGTCTGAAATCCCACGTGATCTGTCAAATACTAATGCATGAAAATCCTAACCTCAAAAAAATCACCCGTTATTAGAAAAAATGTTTGGTTGATTTTGGCAGCAAGTTTTGGTAGGAAAAAAATTTGCCTGTGGCAACACTGAACGCAACTATGATTAGACGATTAATTTAGATTTGTATTATAAATAAGCGCTCTACGAATATTGGACTCAGTTTTCATATAGTAACAGGCATACATACTTCTTCAATACAAGTCACACGAACGTTGATTAACTAAATTGATAGCAACTGTTTTGTACATACGAATATAGTTCGAAGAGGATTCTAACACCTCTTCAGTACGCCAATCTACATACATCATACATCATACATACCGAGTACGTTGTATCTCAGCTCTATTATTCGGATTATACAGTCCACTGCATTTTCATATCGCCTCAATATTTTCAATATTATCGAAGAATGGTGTGGACTCGACCAGCTGGCCCCCCACATGTGTGGAGTGTCATTGAGTTGATTGATTCTGCTGGAGAGAAGAGAAAATTCTCACTGCAGGAAATTCCTGAGGAGCGGTACGAAGAGGCACTTTGTCATATGTGCTCTATCTTCGTGAAGGATGAAACAATATGTCGGGCTATGGGTTAGTGATGCAACGAATGAAATGAGTTTCTCTCGGAAAAAAACCTCGAAAAAAAATTTAAATTCCTGTGTTTCTAACCGGTGCAAAGTGTGTCGATTGGAACAAACAAGGTGGACAACTGAATGAAAAAAGTTTTTTCATGTCCTACATTCTACTGTGGGTATGGCAGTGATCAGAACATGATAAAAACATAGTAAGGTAGAACCGTTCTCTCAATTCGTCAGCCATGATTTTATTTTGAAGTTTGCCAACATTTTAAAGTTATATAAATTTGAGAGTAAAAAAAAGAAATTGTTCAAAGTTGTTGTTGTTTGAGATTGAAAATGAGAATGTGTGTGTGAGTTTGTGTGTAAAATTTTAAAACTAAATTGCCTGCAAACGTCAAGAATTTGAAAAATTCCTCTCAGCGGTTCTACCTTCCTATTTTTTTATCATGGATCAGAAATCAATTTATAATCTTACTCAAACTCAAAAATATTTTTGTTGATTTTCTATAGTTTTTGAAAAACCTCTCATTCAAGAGTCCACAAGTTGAGATGGGTTGCCTTTACATTTGATATTGCCACATGGTAAACAAACATGGTAGGTAGAACGTAGAGAACAAGAAGGGACAACTCGTTATAATTGTGCCGAAAGTGCGCAATATGGGCGTGCCTTCTCTTTTTATCCAGTCAAAAAACGCACTAGGGTAAAAGAGAAGGCACGCCCCTGTTGCGCACTTTCGCTACAATTACAACGAGTTGTACCTTCTTGTTATCTATGTTCTTTGTTATGACTTTTAATCTTATGTTCTTACTCATTATGACTCTTTTTTAGTAAAAATAATTTTAATCGAGAACATTACATAAAAACTACTGAAGCTTATTGCTACCTTTATATACTTATCAAAAATTATTTTTAACTATTTTAGCTATTTGGGGATATATTTTTCCCATTTTTTCCACCACGCGGGCGGATCTCTATGGCTCTCCAATAAATCTTCTTGAATATATTGATTACCCTCGACTATGTCAGACGCTAAACAAAAAAAAAACTTTTGTAAGCTTACTTAGATTTTTGATCAAAATCACTCCAAAGAGAATTGCTGTTTGTTTGATCCACGTTATGCTCCGGTAAATTATCATTTTGAAATCTAGTTATACACTGTTCCCTGACCATTCTCCATTCTACCATTGTAAAATTTACCGTTACTTTGCTTTGGCGACGCTTACTATGAAATTATATTTTAACGATGATGTTTGAGTATCAAAGTATCGACATATTTTTTCAATACTCATCGAATACTCAAATTGCTTAACAGTATCAAATATATACTATTCCATACTCGATACCATTCACATCACTAATGGCTACTTGAGAAACTGTCTCTTACACCATTAATTAAAAATTGATTACTATACACTCTGCGACAATTATGTAATATTTTCCACAAGTATTCCAGTAAAACACTCGATGGATTTACGAAAGTTGGCTCGTATTTTTATTTTATGCCCTACTAAAGTTTTCATGTCAGTAGTTTTCAAAAACGTGGAAACAATCGTTATAATAAATGTCTGAGGGAAATAAAAGATTAAGACTTATACATTAATGGCATTATTCATAAGAAATAAAATAGCTTTATAAATGGTTTATAAATTGTAAAATTTATGAAAACATCAATTTATAAAGCTCTATACACCTACTATATTTTTTATGAATAAGCCATAAATTTTCATAGGAAATATTTTCGTAGAACATTTTAACCCGTTACCTCCCTCCTGAAAAGATGAACCTTGCTTGAAGAAACGCCCCAAAAAGCAAATTTGGAAGTTTTTTAGAGAATTGCTAAGTTCTAGAAAATTTATTTGGAAAATTTTACTGGGGGTCCTAAATAAAATAAAAAGTAATCAGCCTTATCATGAGTTTAATTTTCCCCGAACCGGTTTACTTTAATTTTTTTGTTTTCCGTGTATTTACTATGGGCGGATGAAAAATTTTCGGATGTATTTTTTTCGAGCAAAACTCAGGATAAGGCTGAATGAGTAAAATAAAATCAAAATTTTTATATTTATGTACAAAAATTTATTAAAAACGGGTTATTTTGTTATTTTCTCTTGGCATAGATTTTTTTATTTTAATTTTTAGAGACTTTTACATTGGTGGCATGAAGATTTCGCCTGACAAGGCCCTTAGTAAAAGAATTCGAAGAATATTTCTCTAGAAGATTTTAATCTTTTCATGACTTTCCTAATTTGCTTTTTAAGGGTTTTCTTGAAGTAAGCGTCATGACGACCCTTTCAGGCGGGAGTTGATGAGTTAAAATGTTCCACGACAATAATGCCATGAAATTTTACAAAATACATATGGCTTAACCTTCTATTTCGCTTAGACATTTATTTTAACGATTTTCTCCCTTATTTGAAAACTACTTAGGCTGGGACATGAAAACTTTAGTAGGCGATTAAATAAAAAAAAACGAGCTAAGTTTTGCAAATCCATCGAGAGTTTTATTACTAGGTATACTTTCAGAAAATGTTAACAGAGTCTCGGCTGGTTTCGGCTGTCGCACAACGGTGTCAAACTGTGTATTATATCAATTATCCTTCAGGTGTGATAAACGATCCCCAATCGGTGGAACAAGGGCGAATATTATATGGTCAGGCACTGTCACAAGGAATTTCCGTCGCTGCTTTCGAGATTACTAAGGAGGATGCAGAACCAACGCTTGCTGGTATGAATGTGCTTGTTTACGTTGACGAGGAGACGGACAAGGTGATGAAATCACTGGAGGTAAATTCACAGATTTTTCGAAATTTAATTGAATTCACGAGTGTGGGTGATTACTGTGTGGCTTTCTATTGACTTGATTCTTATGCCGAATTTCCACTAGGCATTGAAATAACAAAAAATGTATGTTATGATTATATTTAAATGCCCAACTTTGTCATTTTTAATTTTTGCCATTTAATGCCTAGTGGAAATCCAGCATTATTTAATTGAGTTTTATTCAATTCAATTGAGTGATATTCAAATATTGCTATCTCAACTGTCATCACTGGTGTTAATTTCAACTTTACAATTGAGTAGTAAATTCTTCTAACAAGCGATTTAGCATTAACAACAGTGATGACAGTGAAGTCTCAGACAAGTTCTATAACATCAGAAAGTACTGTTTGTAAAAATGGGAGATAGCACTATTTGAATATAAGTCAAGGCGTATTCATATAAGGTGGTAGCGGTAGTACAAAAACAAAAGCTAACATGTATTTTGTTTCCGCTCTCGGTACACAAATGTCAAATTTCAGCTTTTCATCGCTCAAGGAGGAAGAGCGAAAGAAAATGCCAACACTCTTCCTAACGCATTCACTCATAAGGAATATTGACATATGTGTACCGAGGCGAATTAAAGCCACTGTTCTGGCAACACCACCTTATATGAATTGGCCTTGATATAAGTCATCGATTTACATTTATGTATGAACTGTTATCTGTTCGACAAACAAAAAGTGAAATAAAGAACAAACAATTGAATTGTTTGATACGCAGGGGAAATCGAAATTTATGGATCTCTTACGCTATGTGATGACAGTTTCTGCCCTTGCGGATCCTCGGAAAATCTACAAGGTCGATAAATATCTAAGTGCTCTTGGATTGAGTGTAAAACCTGAATACCGGCGACTGGGATTGGGTCAAAAGCTGTTAGAATTGAGGTGACTAGATTTGGTCACGGAGACGTCAACAAAAGTTTAATCTTCTTTTATTTCTTATCAGAGACGGAATTGGAAAAAAGTATGGTATCGAGTACACATCAACGCAGTTTACGAGTCCAACTTCTCAGAGTCTAGCAAAAAAAGTCGGATTCAAGACAGATTTGGAGTGTCCTTACGAGGAAGCACTCCGTGAAGACGGAACTCCTTTACTGCCGACACTCAAAGGAAAGAGTTGTAAAATTATGAGTAAACGCATCGCTTGAATGAACTGTTCCAGTCGATAAATTAATTAATTTAGGTTGACGGAAAAAAGCTCATACGATAAAAATTCTGGATAAAAATATTTATTAAAAATATGTTATACTAGTGAGTTTCACCCAACATTTTCATACAAATAAAAAAAAATATTTAACGATGTTATATTTTATTTCGGCGTCCATATTTCTATAGCTGTATATTTTTTAAGCTAGTTAAGGTATTTAGGCCGTTTAAAACTTTGAAATTATAAAATCTTGTCCCTCTAAGTTTAACGTAAAATGGTTCCAGGGATACGCCGTGTGAACACGTAAGCATCTGGCAGGTGGCACGCCCGCCAGTAACCTGGCATTAATAAAATACCACTTCTCAGTGCTGCAGCTAAATGCCTCCCGAGGTATTAGAAGCATGCATTATTAGGATTTTAGATTATATGGCAGATGCCGGCTCCCCTTTCTCCATTAATTTAGATTTTTCTGTCAATACGGTACTTGCAGACACTTGCTGTATGAAAATTTCACATTTGTCTAACTCCCATACCACGGCCCTTTTAAAAAAAACACACATTTATCTCGGTGAGTATGAAATTGATACAAATCTCCATACCAATTTCAACAAACACTTACAGAGATATTAATACAATAAGAAAATTTCAATTGTATGGGAAGGGCCACGCCCCCTGATTTATCGAAATTATTTTCAGGCCATGTATGACCATCGGAAGGCTGCAGTTAGTATGCAAAATTTGGTGTCTGTTGGGGAAAGCTGTTAAAGAGGTAACATATTTGTCATTGAGGTCATAAGCTATCCGTGTGCAAAATTTCATGCACATCCGTTTAGTCATTTTCAGGTTTTGCAGTCGGATTGCTTAGCATCCCTCTTCTCCGGGCGGGCATTGAGTCCAACCCCGGTCCATAAACATACTTCTGCTGCATTTGCCAGATACGACTCCGCCCGAACTTCACTTCGTTAGGTGCAACTCTTACAACGGATGGAGTCACCTAAGAATCTGGTCTGGCCTTTGGTCTCACAGGGAGTGGACCGCAAGCTTTGTGGCCCCTGTTTCTCAGGCCAGATGGCACCATCCGCCTCCACGCGCAACGAGCAAATTGGAACTAGCACAGATAGAGCCTAAACGGCTCCAAGAAGCTTCTCTGAGCAACAGCAAGCTTCGCCACTCCCTTACCCCTCACACCACTCTTCCCGCCGCTACAACTCGCGTGTGCGAGTTAACTAGCAGCTCTTGGTTGCCCATACCATCACAACAGAGTGTACCGGAATGTGGCATTAGTCAAATGCAACACATGCCCTTTTGCAGCAACAGCAAATGGGGTAGATATAACAGGCCCAAGGTAGGCCCCACACTTCTCTCACCTCCCGTATCGCGACCACCAAACTCTTACAACTGAACTCCAACGAACTCCATAACATGATTGAAGAGATACCAGTCTTCGTGGGTCAACGCTGTTGAGTTGCGCCACCTATAATGTGCTCCGTAAATATCGCGAACAAGATAATGGTGGAGGATCAGCGTTCATCCTACACCACATAGTGCAATATCGTCTAATCGAAGAGGACACCGACCCGAGGGACACCACCCTAGAATGTCAGGGCATAGCTGTCCAGTCAGGCGATGTCGAGCTCAAAATAGTTAACGTATATACAACCCCTGTCACCTGCTGCCCTGCAGGAAATCACCCTGACATAAGTGCGCTACTCATAGGTGAAACCGGAATGGTAGTAGGGGACTTTAACGCGCACCACGATATTTGGCACTCAAGTCTTTCAATTGATCGTAGGCAAAACCTATTGGCTGAATATATAGACGGTTCGACATTCTGCACCATGAACGAGGACGCCCCCGCTAAGATTTTGGGCAGCTGCAGCAGCTCGCCAGACCTAACAATTGCTGGCGCTGGTCTGATGAATAGCATAACATGGCGACCTATGCTAAGGCTTGCATCAGACCAACTGCCCATAATCATCTCGATCAATAAGCCCACCGACTTTGTTCCCTCGGGCCACCGAACCTACATCAACTTTAACAAATCTGATTGTAACGGCTTGGCGGAAGTTACCCCCTCGCCGCCCTCCCCACACCCACAGACATACATGCTGGCGAACGTCAGTTCCGCAGGGTAGTTCACTGCTGCAGCGGCTGGCTTCATACCATCCGGACACATTGCGGAAGTGCCCCCAAATTTCCGGGCAAAAGCAGCTGGTCTAGCAACTGAGCGTGACCAGCCATCGCCTGAAGGACCTTAATTTGGAGATTCGGCAACTGGTAAATCAGCATAAGCGAAAAAAGCGGGAAGAGCCTTTGAAGACCTGTAACTTCGCCTCTGGTGTGAGTAAGCTCTGGTCAACCGTAAGGTTCCTATCTATATATATGAGTGGTCGACAGTCGTCGCACTCCGGCACATTAAAATTATCTGTAGGCAGTTTTTCGTAGGGTGCCACAGACTTGAGCACCCCAACAGACCCTTGCTAGAGGTGGAGCCTCCACCCAAGCATGTCAGGGGCACCTATTCATTTATAAAGACGCGGTTCACACTCACAACGACCAACCACTGGACCCAAAAACGTACCGACGAGCGATCAACGGCATTCATATAGAGTCGGTCACCACCTACCACTACTCCCGGCCTATAAATGCCGTGATCGGTGCCCAATCACCACCTGTGTCAGAATTAGAGCTTCAACTGCGAAGAGAGACCCGCGTTACCCTGGCCCAGTTACGGTCTGGATACTGTAGCCACCTCAACAGCTGTCTGTCCAGACTCGACCCCAATATCCCCAATTAATGTCCGGCATGTGGAGTTTCCTCGCACGACACCAACCAACCTCTTCATATGCCAGCTCAATCCCACTAAACTAACAGCCCTCTCCCTTTGGTCCAACTATATTGAAACTGTCCTGGTCCTACCGTTAGTTCAGCTTGACGCCAAAGATTAAGGATGAACCAAAATAGGCGGGGTGCCGCTACAACAACAATCAACTTGAAACCAAGTTCTCGACCGTGTAATTTCACGGTAAGACCCCTTTCAGACACGTCGAGTCGGGCTTTGAAGTATGCTCGGTACGTATGCGAAGGAGGTGAGAAGAGAGCGGAAGAGTGCATTCGTCTGTTGTTGTTGTTGTTGTTGTAGCGGCTACTAAGCCCCGTTCGGGACGGTTCATCCATCATCGTTGTCGTCTATTTCAGCTAAGGGGAGGCCCAGGAAGTGTGCGACTTCCACAGGGGCTATCCATAGGGACAGGGGCGTTAGCTGAGTGGGATTCTCAGAGCATGTGAAGAAGTGCCGGGAGTCATGTGGCGACTCTCCACATGCCGGGCATTGGTTGGGCACATCCTCGTTGATTCTGCTCAGGTAGCTGTTGAGCCTGCTGCAATAGCCAGAGCGAAGTTGGGCTATTGTTGTGCCAGAGGTTGTTTAATATACCTCTGGACTTCGTCTGTCAGTTCGTAAAGATGCCTGCTGACGTGCTGTGGCGAGGGCTCTTCCGCGAGCAGTTGCCCGCTGGGATGACCACGTCTGTAGCTCCCAGCGAGGAACTGCTTGCAAAGCATTATGTTATGCTCCTTTACCGGGAGCATCTGGGCCTCATCATGAAGGTGATGTAGCGGCGTCATCAGGGGGGATCCTGTCGCGGTACGTAATGCCGTGTTTTGGCATGTCTGCAGCTTCATCCACTGCGTCCTGCTAGTCCCCGGCGACCATACGGGCGCTGCGTAGTTCAGAACCGGCCGGCCAATTGCCTTGTATGTTGCCAACAACGTTTCTTTATCTTTGCCCCATGTGCTGCCGGCCAGCGACTTGAGGACATTGTCGCGGCTCTGTACTTTGTTGACAATTGCGGTTGTATGCGCCGAGAAGGAGAGCAGACTGTCGAAGGTAACTCTGAGGATTTTCGGGTTATTCACCGTCGGTATTGTTACGTCATCGACGTGAATACCCAGTGGCAGTCTGTCGTCCTTCGTCCAGGTGGTGAAAAGGGTTGCCGAGGATTTCGCAAGGGATAGGGCTAGGCTCCTTGCAGTGAAGAAGCGAGAAAGTTCGGAGAGGTAACCGTTTACTTTTGAGCACAAGTCATCAATTTCATTCCCAGACGCAATGATCGAACAATCGTCAGCATATGAGACTATATTAACACCCTCTGGTGGCTGAGGAAGCTTTGATATGTAAAAATTAAACAGTAGCGGGGACCGGACACCACCCTGTAGTACCCCCTGTTTAATTTTACGTGGCTTGCTGGTTTTGTCTCTGAAGATTACTGACGAGTGTCGACCACTCAGGTAATTCGCCGACCACCGTTTGAGTCCCTGTGGGAGTCAGGAGGCCTCTATATCTTCTAGTAGCGTTGAATGACTGACAATGTCGAACGCCTTGGACAGGTCCAACGCTACTAGAATAGTTCTCTCACAGGGGCGGTTTCGGTTTAGGCCACGAGTTATCTGAGTGTTTATGGCGTAAAGTGCTGTTGTTGTACTATGCACTTTATGGAACCCATTTTGATGCTTCGCTGGGGTCAGGTGGTTCGTGAAGTACGGGAGCAGCAGGGCCTCAAGTGTCTCCGCTACCGGGGAAAGGAGAGTTATCGGGCGATAAGACTCTCCTTTGTTGGCTGGTTTCCCCGGTTTGAGCAGTGGGACCACTCTCCCCATTTTCCAGATGTCTGGAATGACGAGAGTGGCCATTGACAGGTTGAGGACCTCCGTTAGGTACGCTACTCCCGCAGGACCCAAATTTTTCAGCATCAACATGCATATTCCGTCGGGTCCAATGGCTTTGGAGGCTTTCGCCTTCCCGATGGCTACCCTTACCTCACCGCTGGTCAAAACAAGAGGCGCACTAGGTTTTGGCATTTTGTGCAGCCTTCTGGTCACTCGACGTTTGGCTTTATCCACCGGAGGATGCAGAATGAACTGCCGGCTAAAATAGCTCGCGCATCTCTCCGGGTCCGACGAAGCGTGCTCACCAAAGTCTATCTCGACTCTGTCGTCGCGCTTCGTCGGGTTGGACAACGACCTCACGGTTGACCAAAGCTTGCTCACACCAGAGGCGAAGTTGCAGGTCTTCAGATGCTCTTCCCATTTCTTCCGCTTATGTACGTTCACAAGTTGCCGAATCTCCGAATTGAGATCCCTAATACGGGGATTTCCGGGATCGGCCTGACGAAGGTTGTCGCGCTCATCAGCTAGAACAGCCGCTTCGGCAGGAAAATTCGGACGTGGATCCTTAATACATCCTGCTGGAATGAAGCGAGCTGCAGCAGCGGTGACAACCCTGCGGAACTTACGCTCACCTACATGAACGTCGGTTGGTATGGGTAGTGCAGTGAAGGTGCTCTCAGTAACATCCGTGAAGCCTTTCCAGTCAGCTTTGGAAAAGTTGATGTAGGTCCGGTGATCCACGGAAGCAAAGTCGGCAGGTTTATCAATCGAGATGACTATGGGCAGATGGTCTGATGCTAGGGTCAGGTGGGTGCGTCGTCGTTCATTGCGCAGAATTTCGTATCGTCTATCTGCTCAGCCAGATGTATTCCCCTACGATCATTTGACAGGCTTGAGTGCCAGAGATCGTGGTGCGCGTTGAAGTCACCAACTACCATACGGTTTTCACCTCTGAGTAGCGCACCTATATCAGGGTGGTATCCTGCCAGGCAGCTGGTGACAGGGGGTATGTATACGTTAAATATTTCGAGCTCAACATCGCCTGACCGGATAGCAATACCCTGACATTCTAGGTGGTATCCCTGCGGTCGATGTCTGCTTCAATAGACGATACTGCACGGTGTGGTGCGTGATGAACGCTAAACCTCCACCATTATCTCGCTCGCGATCTCGACGGTGCACGTTGTATCCGGCGCAATTCAACAGGGTTGAATTGCCGTGCAACTTCGTCTCTTGGACCGCAGCTATTAATATTCCATGCCTTCCCATAAAGACAGTTATCTCCTCGATCTTGCTCTGGAGTCCATTACAGTTAAATTGTAGCACCTTTGTGTGCCTTGGGAGACCGATTGTGATGTGTGGTGTTAAAGAGTTGTGTTGCCTGCCGGCCCCCTGCTGTACGTGCTGCAGAAGGGGGTGCTGCCTTGTGGTGGTGGTTGGCGGCGTCGCGGGGGAGGGATGCGACGGGGCAGCCAGCAGGGGCCCACATAGTCACTCGTCCAATCACGCGTGTTGCGAAGCCCTGAGCATGCCCTAAAGTAGCACCAGCCAAGGCAGGAGTTGCACTTGACTGATGGCACGTTACGGTATATTCTTGACTGACGGACAGAGCAGATTGTCGGAGGGACTAGGAGTTGCCGGCGGCGGTGTGTGGCTGCTATTGTGTTTGTTTGTGTGTCTATTGCTGTGTTGTGTTGGGGTGTGGGTGTGTTGATTATGTGCTGCCCAGGCGGGTGGTGGTTTGCCGTGGAGGCGGTCCGGTTCGCACAGCATGGAGCCACGAACGACGTGGTCCATTGCCGGTGCGTACGTAGGCCCGAGCAGTTTCGAAGGTGACTTCACCCGTCACAGGCATTGCACCTGACCGAAGTGGAGTTTGTATGCAGTCGTCTCTGGCATACGCAGCAGGTGTAGATTTCTGGCCCTGGGTTTGACTCTATGCCAGCCCTGAGCAGAAGGGTGCGGAGAAGGTGTAGCCCTGGGATCGAGCAACGTTTGATGGATTTCGCCGACCTAAACGGGGTTAGATCGCCGAAACAACAGCCCTTGGTCGGGTAAAACCCGAGTCATTCCGGTACGTAGAACCGGCTGTCGTGGGAATGAGTGCATTCGTCTCACCTCCTTCGCCCACGAACGAGCGGACTTGAAATCAAGACTTGACGTGTCTGAAAGGGGACTTAGAGGATTTCCGCTCAACTTGTCAGAAAAGGACGAATTCAAAATTTAACCTAAGTGCTGCCAAGTTTTGCTAATAGTGATGCAAAGCCAAAAATTTGGTTATTTACCGAAACCGGTTGCTATCGGTATAGTTGATGCTAGAGGTGGTTGGAGCAATTATGGTGGTTTTTCTATTTAAATAAACTCCAGCAACGAGAAAATAAATTAAATTTAGAATACCTTCGAATTAATTAATTAGTTTAACATGGGCCTGTGCTTTAAAAGAATTATTTATTTTGTATACCTTATCAATTAACCGGTTACGCTACGAACTACTCGTACTTGTTAGGTTTAGAACAGGCCTACTCTATATACTTTTGTAATTTGGCATTTTTTCCTTATTTCGCGCATATTTTGAAAAATTACAGACATTACAGAATCAATTATTGAGGAAAATGGCGGAGAGAATGGTTATGTACGTACACAACGACAACTTAATACATCAAGCAGATAATAATCCTGCAGTTCGGGGCAGGGTAAGTAATAAAATTATATTCTTATAGGACGGTAAAGGATTCGCCTCCTCCACAGGCTTCACTCACGCACCGGCTGATAGCCTCCTATGGCCTACTCAAACTCATGCAACGTCTGGATCCAAAAGTATGTGGGCTCACCGATTTACGAAGTTTTCACAACCATGACTATGTGCAACAGCTATTAGAGAAAAAGACACAAAGCAATCCAAAAGGGGTCAATTTAACAGCGGCCGTTCCCATAAAATTAAACGCATCTGTTGCAGAGGAAGATCAATGTAGTGACGAGGATGATGACGTTAGCTTAGATACTACACATGCTCAGTTGGAGTACGGTTTGGGTTTCGATTGTCCTAGTTGGAGAGGCATATGGGAATATGCTTGCACAATTGCAGGCGGTACAATGAGTGCTTGTGCAGCACTATGCAAATATGGTTTGCCTAAGAACGGTAAACAAACTGTGATTATTAACTGGACAGGTGGTTGGCATCACGCTCAGCGTGATCGTGCTGCTGGCTATTGCTACGTGAATGATATAGTGTTAGGCATACTTATGTTGCGGAGGCATTTTAAGCGTGTACTTTACATCGATTTAGATGTCCATCATGGGGATGGTGTACAGCAAGCGTTTGAAGTGACTGAACGTGTATTCACATTTTCCATGCATCGTTTTGAATGTGGCTTTTACCCAGGCACTGGTGGGTTGGATGATTGTGGTTTTGCTAGCGGTAAAGGCTATTCAGCTAATTACCCCTATCGTGATGGCATATCCGGTGAAAATTTCTGCAAATATTTTAAGCGGCAAGTTAAAGTTTAAAAAAAAAAAGTTAAATAATTGAGGCTATTTTGAGAACTTATGATACCCTTGCAGCGTTTTCAGCATCATACAAGAATGCTATGCGCCAGAGGCCTATGTAATACAATGCGGTGCTGATGCTATTGTGGGTGATCCGCTTGGAGGTACCAATCTCATCCCAGCTGACTTAATTGATTGCGTTGAATTCGTATTAGAACGCAAGTTGCCTACTGTGCTCTTGGGTGGTGGCGGCTATAATTTTACTAATGCTAGTCTGTTTTGGACTCAATTAACAGCTGCTTGCTGCGGCGTACGACTACCAGTAGATATACCTGAGGACAATAGCGATTTTCTAAAATATGGGCCGGATTATAGTCTTATAATCAGGCGGTCGAAAATAATGAAGGACCACAATAATCTCGAGTATTTGGAAAAGTGCACGCGGACCATTCAAGGCAAGGGATTTTGTTTTTATTTTTGAAGTTTTGAAAAATGTAATCCTTATTTATACATAATTTTAGAACTTTTGGTGGCTATCACAGAATCTATCCTAGTCCTATTTTTCGTGAAAACTGCGTAAATGTTATTACAGAATCCGATTTGCTACGAACGTATGTATGTATTAAAAGTGTACGTTACGCTCGTAGCTACTCGAATTCAATTTCATTTTCGTAGATTTTGCGAAAAATCGGAGTACGATGGATTCTGTGGTAGCCCTGATTATGTACGTTTCTTTCATGCAACTGCATTTTTTGTTTTTTCAAAATTTAGTTTATTTATAGAACTTTTCGATTACATTCGTACATAAAGTGGATTATTTTTTTAATGTTTACAGAAAATCTCCGGAAGTTTAATGTGAAAGCTGTCTGAAACGCCTTTGTGTTGGCCCTACTAAACTTTGTTATTTCTTTTTTTATTCAACTGATTGTGGTTATTTGTCTTAATTTATGGATTTCATTTATAGATGAACAATTTACTTTTTGTAATTATGTTAATATTATGACTTATAAACTAAATGCTAATGTATGCATTTATAATTTCATTGCAATTTAAAAATGCCCTTGTCGGATCAGCGTTTTCAAGTTCAAATGAATACCTACAAAAATCTTCAGTTATCTTCCAACCTATGGAAGTATAGTTCGCCCGCCGCCCCCAGCTCCTGCACTCCCCTTAAAACGTTTATTTGGCGAGGCATTTCCCAATTCTGGCTTAATACGTGTCGGCGATTGTATACTGCCTGTTCCACCCGTCAAACCAGCACCGGGTGATGTGCCACTCTGTACGGGATCCTGTAGCCACCTTACTTGTGTGGCCGGACCGTATCCTTTGTCATTTCGCGCTGCTATCCGAAAGATAATAGCCGGCTTGTTGGAACAATCGACGTGTGCCGTCGCCAATGAAGTATGGGCTACAGTACATTGATTAGCTGCACCAACATATACACGTACGAAAGCGAGTTGTGCGGGCAGACGTGCACCCGCACCTATTGGCCTGCCATCTTTGTCTTTGACCGGCCTAACTGCCAAGTAAACTGAATATTCGATAATTTCATTTGAATTCACACAGCTCGGTGGTGGTTCCCAGGTGAGATGGGCACCTTCAGATGATTTTGATATTTTAATAGCAGACGGTGCACCAGGAAAACCCGGTAAACAGGTTTTAAAACTTGATATCTCACTCCAATCACTGGTGCCGACAGTGTTTATGGCGCGCAAGCGGAAACGGTAAGCAGTGCCTGGCTCAAGACAAACGCGTTGAATTGTTGAAAGATCTGGCAAGTTTTTAGACGTCAGTTTCAAACCGGAAGATGACCAAATGGTATTGTCTATGAACGATGATACCGTTGCATTAAGTCCAGTGTAGATTCCCACCGTATGCCATTTGGCATCTTCCTCATCTATGGGTGGCCCTGCAGTAGTTGGTGTTGGTGCTTCGTTTTCTCCTGATGGTGCATTACCAGCTGAAGACGGAAGCGGCGGTGGCATGTCGGTGCTTGATGAAACACCATTATGCTGGTCGCTAGGTTGTCCATTTATGTTTGAATTTTCGTTAACGTTGCCATTTTCATTTGACTCTTCGGGTTGAGTAGCTCGGGGTTCAGTGCCGGCCGTATTCTCATTATTAGCATCCGTATTAACGGTAGCTGGTTCATTCGCAGCGCCGGCACCCACGGACGCTGGAGTCTCATTGGGTTCATCCGTCTCCATTAAAGAGGGTGCATCCGTCGGAGTTTCAGATTCATTACCCGAAGCTGATGTTTCCATCGACTCCATTATCTGTAATTTAATTATTAGAAATTCACAAATGGTAATTACATCTTGTATACTAGATACCCACCAATTGTTTGTGCCTCTATACTGTAGAGGTTTACTGCGATATAAGTATATGAAAATAACAAAATTGCCAAAGTATAATTTGTGCACACACCTTAAGCACAATGAAAGTTATTAATTGTTTGGAAAAGCCCAAAAATACATATTAATATTAATATCTAGATTTTAACCTGCAATTGTGAAAAATCAGCAATTTGTGGCGAACGCGATTAGGGATGAAATGATACGAGTAAATAGAGCTGGGTAACAAGCGATGCCACCATCGATGTTTTAAAATTTTACCCACAATCGATGTTTTTTCTGCTATTGTCGATAGTTTTTCTCGCATACACAATGGAATATTATGGCTGCGTTTCTTTATACATTCCGGATAATCTCATTTCACAGCCGGAACAAACAGAATACGTTTGAAATATACGTTAGCATATCATCAGGAATATTCTAAAGAATAAGTAAACAAAAAAGTTTATTCCAAATGTTCAGAATTAATAAAGAAATGCAGCCTATACATTTTTGGCTATATTACTGAATCCACTGTAAGTTGGATTTACGAATAAGGTCTAAGTTGCAAATGACTAAAAATTACTGTTGATTGTTTAAATTTTTTTGTAACGGTTTTATTCCATATAAAAATAAATATGTAGTGTGCATTTGTTGTATGGAAACAAATGAGACAAGAAAAAATTAAATAAGCTAGTTTTTAGCCATTTGAATCTTGCACTTGAATGGCCAAAAAATGCATACCCAAAATCTTTCTAAGAAAGCTAATTGAAAATATCGAATTTTTTACGAAAGTTTTTGAATTTTTTATTGCACCAAGTGTGAAACTGTGAGCGTAATTCTTTCAATTTTCTCGTTCTTCCTGATAATTATCTGCTAGAAAAGAAAAGAAACAAAGCCAATAATGTGTTTGCTAAGTAAAGAAACAAAGCTAGTAAATTTTTGGCCCAAAACCAATTGTGACAATCAGTTTAGGAGCCAGTGTATTTGAGCGTTGCTGTTGTAACCAGATTTTTAAAGAAAGCGGCTAAATAAAAACTTGTTGGGTTTAAAAAACTACTAATTTTCCAACTTTATAAAACTAGTATAATAAGTGTTTATTTGTAATGTGTTTTTCAGATGGCCGTTGTGCCTACTTGCGAGTATAGTTGTTAACAAATTTACAGTACTATTTACAGCAATAAATATTTCTAATTCCCCGTTATTTGCATTCTTGCAGTGAACCAATTTAGTTGATCCCGAATTTGCATATTTGCGTTATATTAACCCAGAAAAATCACGAAATGGGTGCCCAGGCGATTTTAAAAATAGTGGTGTGCCTTTTGGTTACAACTTCAAGCCTAGCTGCTGATACCGATTGCCCGCCTTTGGATGATGCCGACAATCTTTCGCAGACGCAATTAATTGAGCGACTCACACATGGTTGCCGCTACGATCGCCTGGAGCGACCAGTTAGCTATACTGAATCAGGAGGTGCCCGCCTACCAATCGATGTTTATGTGCGCGCTTATATATACTTTATGCAAAATTTGGAGGCACATGATTTGCAATTTAAAATACATGTGCTGCTCCAGTTGCGTTTTATAGATCCACGGTTAATGTTTCGCAAAGTAGCACCTAAACGAAGGCAACCCATTTTGGGTGAAAAGCAATTACGCGACACGCTCTGGATGCCACATATATTTCTGGCAAATGAAAGGGATTCAAGTCTGCTAGGTAAGACAAATGAAATACGTTTATGTTTTCGTAATATACAATTTTATATATAAAACGTTATTAAGGCACCAATGAAAAGGATATATTGACTTCAATTTCGCCCGATGGCACTGTAATAATATCATCGCGCGTAAAAGCAACTCTTTACTGCTGGATGAATCTGCAGAAATTCCCTTTTGACGAACAACAATGTAGTACTATACTAGAGAGTTGGATGTACAATACCTCTGAACTCGTGTTGCATTGGGAGCAAAAGCGGCCAATTACATTTGATCCGGCATTACACTTGACTGAATATGTGCTGAACGGTGTCTGGTCCAATGAAACAGTTGTCAATGCAGATTTGAATGATTTACGACATGGCGCTTTTGCTGGAAATTATAGTTCACTTAGCTTTTCGGTGCATTTTACGCGTGAAGTTGGCTTCTATGTAATGGATTACTTTTTGCCGTCAATGTTAATTGTAGCCATTTCGTGGGTATCATTTTGGTTACAAGCTGATCAAGCACCTCCACGCATTATGCTTGGCACTAGCACTATGTTAACTTTCATTACACTGGCGTCAGCGCAAGGTATGTATTACATATGTATATACAAATGTTTTTTGCTTAATAAACTTGCGCTTTAATATCTTTACTTTCTGTTAATAGGTAAAACTTTACCAAAAGTTAGCTACATAAAGGTCTCCGAAGTGTGGTTTCTTGGTTGTACACTTTTCATTTTCGGCAGTCTTATAGAATTTGCATTTGTAAACACTATTTGGCGACGTAAACGCAATGTGGATGTGAAGAAAATGAGTAGCAAGCATATACTTAAGTCAACATTATCGCCGCGCGCTTCACGTCGTCCCACAGGTCGTTCACGTTCATTCTGTGTTGCGCCTGGTGCTAATCAAGCATCCAATGATCCAACCGCATTTAATAATTATCTAACCGTACATAATATACCAATACATACCATACATGAGAATGAAGCATTGGATAACATATCGAAAATTACGAGTTTCAGTGGCACTACAACAAATACTTGCGATTCAATGCCTTATAGCAAGCGTGATTTAATCAATATGGAATCTGGTNGTGGCACTACAACAAATACTTGCGATTCAATGCCTTATAGCAAGCGTGATCTAATCAATATGGAATCTGGTGAAGCAGGCCAAAATAACGGTTGGACTACACTAACTCCTCAAGAAATATCCATGTGGATCGATAAGAAGGCACGTTGCTTATTTCCGCTGGCTTTTCTTGCTTTCAACATATTCTTTTGGACGTTTGTCTATGTGGTGTAATGCGGCAGAGGTTACAGAATTCGTAGATGTATTCATTGGCGCTCATTTGCAGGTGCGTGCTAAAAGACTATATTGCCTATATTAAACTTCTTTTCACTCATTTATTTTACTGATGCTATGATTGAGTTTTAGCGGACATTGTTTACTATGAGTTACATAAACTTCTAGTGGTTGGTACATATCTGTATATTTAAGCAATTGTGATTTTAATGCATTTGAAGAACGTTGTGATGTTAGTTGTTGACTTGATTTTTAAATTTTAATGTAAAAGATATGATACAATTTTATTTAGTTTCATGTAAAAGCCTGTATTAATTAAAAGCATTGTTAACTGGGTTTTTATGCCATAACAGTCGCACCTAAAAACTAGAAAAATGCTATAATTTATACTGGATTTTGATTTAGTTTTTGTTGCTGTAGCACTTTTGCACATGCTTGATAATTTTGCAAATCAAACTCACATATATATTTTTGGAATACTTAAAAAATCATTTTTATTATAATATATACCTACTAAATTTAATGGATAAATATTTAGGAATCTCATGTTTTGGTTAAAAGTAAATACAATGGAAAAATATTCAATGGCTAAACACATTACATACAAACGCATAAATAGTTTTGACAGCGCATTGCATTGTGCAAATGAAAATTCATTGGAAATCTCCCTTTGCTTTATTGCATCAAAGCTCCTCTTTGTTCGTAGCGCTTTCACCTGAATCGCCTTTTGTTTTTATTGGCTGCTTCGATTTTTTCTTCAGGTTTTTCTTCACATCATCCGTATCTTCATCGCTCTCCAAAGCCGGCAGAGTTTCCTTCAAACATTTTCGATCATCTAGCGCAAGTACTTCGTCCTCGCAAAGGTGCTCAATTAAACTCTTCTCATCTTGCAGCTTGAAGTACCAATTTGATATGACATCCTCATAATTTTCAGCCATATCTTCACACTGCGCTTTCATTTGCGTCACTTCGATTGGTGGCTTGTCCCATAGCTCATAGGGTATGCCCAAATCCACTTTGACGCCCTTGTCGACGAGGCCGTGTAGTGTTTTGAAAGTTTGTGACATACCTTTGGCAAATCGTGTGCTATCAGAGCGCTCCTTGTGTAGGTTATATTCCAAAACGCGTTCACAAACATTCTCCAGCGATTCCAGCAGACGTAGCTCACTGCGGCGGTACTCGGTGCGTTTCTTTGGTTTGACATCATCGAGCGAGTAACTGTTTGGAAAACACAATTAGGATTTAGTACATAATTATACCACATTCTTTGTTTTATTTCATCAACATACCCAACTTCGATTACATCGTGCGATTTGCCAGTTTCCTTTAGTCGTTCCTGCAATACAGTAGCCAAAATTTTGCAGGCTTCACAGCGACTGGCAAAGCGCACACCCTCCTGCTCCTCCGGACCGGCATTCACCAAGTACACCAGTAGAGGCAGTATTACAACGAGAAGCTGCATCATCAGCTTGTTGTTTGCAATTGTGAACTGACTGATAATTTATGCAAATTAGCAAACAAATTAATAAAGCCTTTTGAGATTGCAATTTGGGGCAAAAAAAACAAAAACTGACGTGTGTTTACCCGGCGCAGGCGTGCTGCCAGCTGGTAATAAACTTCGTGCCATTGCGTGCTAATTTGTGGGAAATTTGGCGGATGGCAGCGCTGCATCTCCATAAATACACGAACTAATTTACGGTGCCTTTTTTATGCAGAACAGCTGGTAAGTTTGTTGATGGGGTTAGTGACTTTACTAAACTGCTTTACCAACTTACGAAATGAACCATTTTATGAGAACTATTTTACGCGGACATATTTATGCGACTTTTTTTACGCTGGGTTGCAGTACTTGCTGCGCACTTCTGCGCGCCTAGTAAATTTGCCGAAAATTTCCAGTCGAAGCGATCGATGCCGGGGGTGGTTCAAAAAGTGCTGCTTGGAATTTTATGTTAATTTTTGCGAATTAATCGCAATATGGGTATTAAATGAAAGGAGATGGAAAATTCTATATGTTGCAAATAGTTTCAAATTGATTCGGGGAAGTTTGCTGAAATTGTATGTATAAAATATAAAAAAGAAATGAATATTGAAAAAATAAATATGTTTTTATAAAAAAAAATCAAATTAAGTTTATATACTTGCCTCTGTAGCACAAAAAAAAAAAATTTTGTCTATAAATATTTTTATTGTTAATTGTTATTGTTTTTTTTTTTAAATGTAGTTAAAATATTTATGTATATATGTGTATTAGAAAGGAGCTTCATATTCAATTTTGCCCCATCTAAAATAACTTATTTTAGGTTAAAAACATTTTTTGAGCTTTTAATGAAATATATTTCTTTCTCAGCTTTCTAAGATATTTTAAAAGTAAACTGTGCCGACAATAAAAAATCTGGAATAGTGATTATACAAATGCATATGTACAAACATACATACATACATATGTAGAAATTTGATTTTTAAATTTTTGTGCCTTAAGAATTTACCGCTAGATTTTAAAATTTAATTTTTACAAACCTTTATACATTCTTTTTCCACATTTTCGCTTTAGCTCTTAAAACTATGATTATATCATTTTATGTGTATTTTTTAAAAACTAATTTTTCATAATTAAGCTAAAATATGCTTAAAAAATTTTCGAATAAATAAATTCGTTTTTTTATGTAAAAACTGCCCTGCATATGCAAGCTTCGTCGAAAGTTGGACATATTATTGCTTAGACTGCAGGGTTGCAATTCACTGCTACAAATCACAGGACATGCGCTCCAACTTCAGCTGGTGTTGTTGTTGTTGGTGCATAGTGGGCAAACAAAAATCCATATTGCTGTTGTTGTTGTTATTGCCACTATTGTTGCTATTATTCGCATTGCAAATGCTGGCAAAATCAATGGGTGAGCATTGCCCGTCCGAATCGTCAACAATTTTTATGGTTTCATTGCTGTTGCGGTTGTTGTTGCTGTTGGTTAGCATATTATTGGACCGATTCGAAGCGGAGACACTGGCAGCCGCCGCCGCAACATTATTGCTGGCTTGAAAACCAGCAAAAGAACGCACTTGCAGAAAGAGACCGCTGTTGAGAAGACGAGCCTGATGCTCCTGAGCTTTGGCGCGCAGACAGGCGATGGAGTTGTTTCTGTGAAAAAAAAGATAGAGAGGAGATTAGCGCTCTTCGAAAAAATTTTGCTACTTTTTATTAAAATGATTAGCAATTTAGGATTATAAAAGCTTTCGGCAAGCTCAAAGTTCACAAACTTGATGTTCAACACGCACCTAAAAGTATCCGGATCATGTTCAAGCGTCGCATACGGTCCCACAGCACCCGCCGCATGCGCATGATGATGCAGTCCACTTGCAGCACCCATAGCGGACCCAGCTGCTGCTGCGCCAACACCACCACCACCACCACCACTACCACCACTGCCTCCAGCACCACTAGCCGCAGCTGCCGCCGCTGCAGCTGCTACGGCCGTATTCATAATCATGTGGAAATCTTTGCTGGTGGCCGCACCAGCGCTGGCATTGGCGGCATCCAAGAGGGGATGATAGCAGGGTTGAGCGGTTGGCGGTGGTAATGCCGCTGCTTGCTGTTGATAAAAACTACGCTGATGTTGTTGCAAAGGTGACAATTGCCGGGCATGCGTTGTCGGCGGCGAGGGGCTGCTCAGGTCAATGTGCGGCGACGATGATGAAGCGGTAGTTGCTGTGGGTGTGGTCGCGCTGGAGGAGGTTTGTTGGCGTTCGCGCGTCGGTGCAGGTGAGACGACATTCAACGATTCGGTGGAAGAGGTGAGGCGACGTGATTCATCGTTGGATTTCGAACCGGCGGAGTCTTCGTGATCGCTAACGCCGGAATCATCCCTCAATGTTTGTTGAGCTTCTATCGATTTGCGGTGCATGCCTGGAGAGGAGAAAGAAGATGAAAGTCGAATTGATGAGAATTTTGGACTGGCTAGTTTGGATGATAAGTAGTTGGGAATAGTACTCGAGGAGCTAAAAGACTTTTTGCGACCAATAATAGCTAGGTAGAAGTAGAAAAATTAATTAAAAGTTCGTCATTCTACGATGAAATATGAAGAGATAAAGTTCTTGCTAAGCGTGTACGCTCTGCTATCTGTGGAAGACATGCTTTTTATGAGTTACTAAAACCCTATAATTTTCCCTTTCAAAAATTTTGTCAATCCCGATTAATGCACACTCCAAGTCCATGAAGTCACCATTGTAACGGCGGGTTCGGTAGCCAAGCAAGTAAGTGCCACGAAGCCAACTGGTAGTGGGTAAGGAACTTCTTTTTGGAAACCTTACCCCTTCTGTGTTTAATGCCATTTATCAAGCCATTGACTTTCATATATTTCGGGGTGAGTTTTGAAGTGATTAAAGGACTGACCCATGCCGTAAGTGCGCCTTGGCTGCCTTATCAGACATGTAAACTATAGTCTCTTCTTCGCAACGAAGTCCATACGGTGCAACAGCGACCATCTCGATTGATAAACCAGCCCTGCCAAGAAGCACAACGCAAGGATAGGTTCTCTCTCCCCTTATATGAAACCTGGCAAAAAATAATTTGCTGCTGAGCTCACAGGCCACGGGTTGCCAGGTCTTAGCGGAGGCATTGTGGTTGGACCACATAAATGGCTTAGATATTGTAGCAAGCTGGTCGGAGGCAAGCAGTCGAGACACCAATCCAGCAGACGTTATGGTTAGCCTCAAAATTAACACTGTATTACCACAACTCTATCCCCTTTGTTGAATGGTGTCTCAAAGTCTCCAGCGGACGAAGTTAGTTATTTATTTGGGAATCATATTGAACAGGAAGTCTACCTGGAGACGATATACGCCCGTAAGAATTCTGTTGGTAAAGAAGTAGTGACATGGATCGGCCTATTATGTTCTACGGTACCACAGGAGAAGGAAAACCTCAGAGAAAATGTATACTAGAGGAACACGGTGGCTCTCTATGCAGCCAAGAGAATGTTGCGTAACAGATGAGGTTTAAACCAAAAATTGTGTACTGGATGTACACAGTTATAGCCCGACTCATAATCTCTTACGGGGCGCTGGTCTGGTGGCCAGCCCTTACTAAGTGTTACTTTATCGAAAACTCAGCTGCTAACAGCGCCGTCAGACTGGCTGCCCTGGGGTTCTGTAATCATAGACTGTTCGGCCACGGTTTCATCCTAGACGCATCACCGTATGACCTGGGTTCACCGCAAACCCCGTACGAAATTCCCAAGCCGCAGTGAATGGAATCAAGGAAAGGTCGAGTTCTTGCAGGGCTTAACTGTCTTTACGGATGGGTCAAAGATGGACTGCGCAGTTGGTGCAGGGATTTTCGTTGAACAATATAACCTAAAGTTATCCTTCCGCCTACCAGACTATGCAAGCATTTTCCAGAACGAAACGTTTGCTATTAAGGGGAGGCAGGCACTCTCTTCTACCTCTGTTAGATCTCAACTAGTGGTTGAATGTAGGAGATAGCTGACCTACATGTCTGATCAATACGAAATTACCCTAATATGGGTCCCAGGACATAGGAATATTTAAGGAAACGAGTTAGTGGACGAACTAGCAAAGAGCGGCTCCACACTGAATTTGTCCCACGCGGAGAACGTGGGCGCCTCGCTAAGGGAGATTAAGACTAAAATTACCGAAACTTAATCACTCAACGTCCAAGCAGAGGCGGAACTGTATAGGATCTTACATGATTACCCGATAGTTCTGGGTATCCTACGACCCACTTAAAACCAAAGCTATATTGGGAATGAGCAAGGAAGATGCGTACAAATTTACTGCAGTGTGTACACCCTCGTAAGGATGAGGTTAAAGACACTCGGCAAACCATTCCTGCAGAATATTTCAGAGTGCAGCTGCCTTTCTTCGTATGACGCCGCCAAATGACTGTAGGTTGCACGAGTTGTGGAATCAAAATGGCAAACTTGCTTATTGCTTGCAGCCACTTAAACCAACCAACCGACCAAACAGGGGCTACTAACCTTTATAGTGAGCTACAAGCGAATAGCAAAGCAGTCTGTGCTAAGTACTAAAGGACTTTTTCCCAGGTAGGTTTTCAAGTTTATCTGTTTTTTAAATAAAAATTATTTTCTGAAAAAAAAAATGTATTTGAAGGGAAGATACATTTTAAAACCTACTTGGAAAAAACCTGGTTAGGTGCTCTTAACAAATGGAAGGATGCGAAACTTTTCTTTCCAAAAAATAGCATACTGACGTTAGCTATTGAAAACGACTTCACCACAAGAGTTCCAACGAAATGAGAATGGAAAGAAGATTCGGTACTGAAAAGACAATCGCACACTACTATGTCTAGATATCGATAGGTGGGTGGCGGTGCTTTGGATTGCTAGACCATTGCAGCTTATTTCAAGCTGGACTTTCAGCTATGCCCTTTTAACTGTGTTTTTGATAGTCAAGTCGCCACTAAATCTCTAGAAAGCTTTGCAATGTCGTCAAAACCCGCAATAAAATGTAAGAATACCTTAAACGAACTGACACAAATTTCTTCGAATTGGCAAACAAAAGATGGGGTGCCAGAACGAATGTGTGGAGTAGCACGCCAAACCTAACTGGCTAACAATAGAACCCACGGTCTTATAAATTTGCAACATTCTCAAACCCGGCTTTCCGGCGAATAACTAGTACTCGTGTTGCAGCTGTCGTGACGATGGAAGAATCGAGAGCATCCAACACTTTCTTTGCCACCGCCTGGGTCTGATCACATTTAGGACTTTTCGAATGCTCATGTGTTGCACCTAAACTGGACGAAAATCTCCATATGAGTACCCATTACCGGTATGCCTACTGCAAGAGCAGGTCTGTTGAAAGGGCCCTACACACGGTCGTTGAGAGTATCGAGCAGACTTTTTCGCAGATGGAATTCGCGGTGGATGCCTTACTTGATATCGAGGCTTTTAATAATGTTTTATCTGAGGCTATAGCCAGATCCCTAAATAAGCTAGAGGTCGGAGCCGACCTCGTCAGGTATATTTACCGCTTGCTTTGCAACAGAACTGTCGCGGAAGGGCAGCGCTTAAATCCGGAGATGTGTGAGCAGAGATACCCCGCAAGGAGGGGTTCTTTCACCGCTTACTTTGGGTCATTGGCGTTAACGACCTCTCGGTTGCTTTGGAAATAAGTGGCTGTGGTGTGGGTTACAGGGTTACTTGAACTTAGTTGAGGGGGCTGTCGCTGGGCGCGCCGCAGTAAGGCTAAGTGGGATGGGCTTCAAGTTGCCTCGAACTACGGGCACTCTAGTATTCTTAAAGACTTCGGGTTTCTACCGATTAGGTAGGTGGAGGTGTCTACTTCAGCCTGAAATTTAGGTTAACGGATCACTGCAGCGTCTTCCAAGCAAAGGTGACCGCAAAAGAAGACTTCAGATTGATTGCTCTCTAATGAATATTTATTCTGACAGCCAGGCAGCTATCAAGGCTCTTGGCTCCGTGACGGTGCGTTCGAGAACGGTGAAATAGTGTCTGAATTCATTATCGGCCGAATCGGATAACCGTAGGTGTCGTCATTCGCCCGGAATAATTTTTTGTGCATTTAATGAGGTTCTAAAAACACTTGGAAAATATTATTCGACTAAAAATAGTCTACGTGGAAAACAAGTTTGAAGATCGTAGAAGGATCTACTTTATTGGTGGCTATGCATAGCAAATAATTACATCTCCCTGCTAAGCTTTTGGAAACTCGCCACAAGCACAGCTACCACATGTGCCACCAATTGAAAGCCTTAACTGCATTCTTAATGTCTTATTATTGCTTTCTAATTAGAAGAATTGTCTATTAAGTACATACATACATACATAAGTACATATATATATATACATACACTGCATGCACTTACAAACATACATACATATATTCCCTTTTCAATGCTTTCTTCACCTACACCCCCCTCCAACGCGTCATTGACAACTTGAAAGTAATTTTAATTGAAATTATCAAAGCGATTAAGGACATAAATTAAAGGCAGCAGAAAATTAAAAATTGGTAGCAGATTTCAAAAGGAAACGTAAGCAAACGAAATCAAGAGAATGAAGCATTGAAATGTGAATGAACATTTGCGGTGGGTGCTGGGCGATGGGCGGCTAGGCGGGTTGAATGTTTTGACAGCAGTTAATAAATAAAACGAAATTAAAATTGCCATTTTAAATCCACGTTAAGCCACTTGAAATTAACAAAAACATACAAACGCACATAAATACATACATATACATACATATGTATATAGAAACTCATAATACGAAATATATTAAGGCATAGACAGACACGCAGGCGAACAATCAGTTTGTGAATGAAGTGGGCTTTCTAAGTAGTTCTATACGTGGGGCGTATGTAGCAGGACCGTGAGATGGACATATGGCGTGCGTTGACTGGATTAAGTAGGCAAGTAGCCTAAGCGCGTACTACAAACACTTGGATGTTGTGGGAAGAAATTGGTTAGGGGTGTAATTGGTAGTGGTTGACTTGGCAGAGCAGAACGCAAGCGCACCCAATTGCGAGGCAAATAGATAAAAACATAACTAATAGGATCAGCTGGGGATTAACGCTATAACAATGGGTTTTGGGCGCCAGAATGATTTATTTTTAAACTCGGTAATTTTTTTTTAAATTTCTCATTTAACTAATATAATTTAAGCCCATTTCATGCCCTTTTTAATTTATTTTTATTTTAAATTATTTTATTACTTTAACTTATTTTTATTTTTAATTATTTTATTTCATTTATTTCCGATTTTATTTTATTTTGTTTATTTATTTTTCTATTTAATTTAAATTTGGTAAATTAAATTTTTTACTTATTATTATTTTATTTTTTATTTCACCTTCAATAATTATGTTATCTTTTTTTATTTTATTTTACGTATGTATAATTCAGACATATTTTTTTATTAAATTTTTACTTTGTTTTATTTTTATTATTTTTTATTCAATTTAATTTTTACTGTACTTTATTTGCATTATATTTTATATTTTTTATTATATTATTATTATTATTTTAATTCTTTTTATTATTTTCTATTCTATTTAATTTTTACTGTACTTTTTTGCATTATATTTTATTTTATTTTATTATTTTTTATATGTTTCACGCTTTATTTTGTATTCTGTTTATCTCATTTTATTTAATTATACATACATATGTATATATTACATTTTTGATTTCATTTTATTTTGTTGTTATTTGGTTTTTTGTTTAATAACAATTTAGGTGTTTTATTTTTTTTTGAAATTTTTAATTATATGTACTATTTTATTTTACTTTATTTTTTGTTCACAATTTAATTTAATGAGATTTTTTTTATACCTATAATTTTTTATTCTATTTCATTTTTTTCGAGAAAGTTTATTAGCTTAACGCTCGTGAATTTATTTATTTTATTTCATCTCATTGTTATAATATAGCCTTATTTATTTAATTTTTGAAATTATTTTTATAACAAATTATTTTATATTAAATTATATTTCACTTTGCATTTAAGTAATTTTTGCGTTTACTTTATTTTATATTTTATGTATAACGTTTCTTATTTTTATTACTTCTTTTTTATTTTAATTTTTTGATTTTTTCCATAAATATGTATTTTTATGCTCGGTGAAATAATTTACTTTATTCTTCTCATTCAGTATAATTTAATCTCATTTATTTAATTTTTGTATTTATTTTTATTAAAAACTATTTTATTCAACAATTTTATTGTGCTTGCGGCCATTTCCAATGAAAAATGTTTGTGGAAACAGAACAATAATTTGCAGAAGATAGAAGTTATAGCTGCTATTTCGGAGATCACTACATCTCCTCATCAGACTTCTTCAACGCGGTCACTGGGATATGAACCATCGAGTTCGGAATTGAAAGCCGTGGTGTACCATTGTAATAAGCCATAAATATAAAAAAAGAATAAAATAAATTATTTTATATTAAATTATATTTCACTTTTTGTTTGGTTAGTTTTTTAATCTATTTTATTTTCTATTTTGTAAATTTTTTTATTTTTATTACTATTTTTGGTTTTATTTTTATACGTAAGCTTTTTAAACCTTTTAATTGCATTTTTTCTCAACACTTTTAATGCTGTTCTACTTTATTGATTTAACTATTTTATTTTATCATATCATATTATCATTTATTATATCATTCTTGTTAATTTTTTATTATTTTTTATTTCAATGGTTCTATTTTATTTTGTATTCTCCTTATTTTTTTTCTTAATTATTTTATTTATTTAATTTTTCATTTAATTTTGCTTTGTACCATATAGTTTACTTTTTACTTAATTTCCTCTTATTTAATTTTGTTCAGTTTTTGTTTAATTGTATTTCATTTAATTTTTTTAATAAATTTTTTTCTTTAATTATTTAATTTTTTTACAACATTGTTTTAACTTTAGTATTTAATAATAATAATCCCATTCCCGCCCATCCGCACGAGGGGCACAGTCCGCATTACGTACGGAAACCAATATTCCCAAATTTTTGCGCCGAGTCACGATAGGCAGGAGTTTGTTAAGTGTCGAGATCTAAAATTGTTCAGCTACAGAACTAAATTCATCAGCCGATTTTATGTCTTTATTTCAATGATTCATTTATTGAGAGAGGACAGCATCGATTTCTTAATGCTGAAAAGCGAATCTTATATATCAAACGTGCTGGAATGAGAGTTAAAATCCTGGCATAAGCAACAGAGTGGGTCGTGCAATTCAAAATTAGTTTTACAAGCTTTCAGAAATAGGGGACAAAAGCGTCTTGATACCCGGGAGGAAACATTAAGGCTACCTTCGCCCAGAAGAAGCGGACTTGAAATCGAGCCTGTCAGTAATTTAACTATAAATATTGTACCAAGCATTTGCCTGCGATTGGAAAGTGTAGGAAGCTTAATAAGTTTAATCGGTTCAGAATTTATTATTTTTTTCTTATTTACTTTCTTATTATATTTAATTTATTAATTTACTATTATTTTTTGATCTTTTATTATTATTTGTTTATGTTTTTATGACGCTGATGTTACTTTATTTTATCGTTTTGTATTTGGGGTATTCACAACGGTATTGTTGTGTGTCGTAAACTTCAAACAGCTATTATTATTATTTTTTTGATTAGTTTTTTATTTCGAAATATCTTATGAAATATTTATATAAACCCCGTATTATAAATTTTCACATTGCTAAAAAATAGTTGGTCAAAATTTACATATTTAACCGTTACGACACTTTCGACATCGTTGTGAATTCCTACATTTTTAATTTCATTTTACTTTCTATTAAACATTTGCACTTTGCTTTAGTCGTTATACAAGTTTTTATTTCATATGCTATTTCATTTTTTATATATTTTTTAATTTAAAAATTGTTTTTAATTGTATTTTATTTTAATAACCGACTTCAAAAAAATGAGGAGGTTATCAATTCGTCGGAATATTTTGAATATTACCGCATAACTTTGGACCACGTTAACCGATTTCGATAATTCTTCGGAATAAGGCACCTCAAGGATGGTTTGGTTTAGATTAGATCATTGGATCATTAAATAATTAATGGTACTCCTAAATTTTTATTCGAGAATTGAAGTCGGTTGTGTTTATTGCTTAAAATTACTTGTATTTATTTTTTAATTTATTTTATATTTTATATTGCTCTATGTTATACTATTGTATTTTGATTTATTTATTTATATTTTTGTTTTTTTTTCAATGTAATTTAATTTTATTGTTTTATTTAATTTTTATTTTTCATTTTATTTTATTTTACTTTATTCCATCTTATCCTATTTTATTTTGTTTTATGGTTTATTTGTTTATTTTTAAATTTTATATCTTTTTAAAATAATTAATTTTTTTTATTAACAAAATTTGTTTGTATGTATTTTATCTAGAAAACGGGACCAACCTCATCTTATCGATCTAGCACGTCCAGTTTTTGAGAAAAAAGCTGTTGAAGTGTAGAAAACTGGCAAATTTCAAAAAAAAGTTAAAAACAGAATTTGGGCGTAGTCTTTCCGAAAAAAATACGTATTAATGAAAATCCAATTCATCAGTTTTTTTCTCAAAAACTAGACGTGTTAGAAAAATGTTGTAAATGCACTTCAAAACAGCATAAAAACATCTATAAGATGAGGTCGGTCCCGCTTGTGAGATATAATACGACCGAATTTTGTTGAACCGTGTTATTTTTTAACTTTTTTGGTATATTTTATTTTATTCCATTTTAAGTTTGTAATTTCATTTCAAAGGTCTGGCATTCGTATTGCATGCTTAGTTGTTGTTGTTACTCGTTCCGTTTATTGTCGTTCTTTGGCATTTATTAAGCGATTATTAACAATAAAGGGATCAAGTTAGCGTATAATGAGTACAATGAGCTGGAATCGCAAAAGCACGTACCTACTTACGATACATCCATATTATAGAAAAACGAATACATAGTAAAGGCAAGTGGGAGGAATAACAAAATCAAACAGATAATAACGTCCTGTCGATGAAGAGCGCATTTTAACTGCGCGCCGCAGAATTTTCACCCCTCTAAAGTGCCGCACAAGCACCTTTCCATAGGCGATTAAATTTTTTCGCTTTTCATTGCTGTTGTTGTTCTACCAGTTGCTTTTCACCCTTCTTTTAGACAGACGATTGTCTATTGAATATTTTATGCGACCAAGTGTCTATCTGTGGCTAATCCGCAAAGTCATTTTCACTAATTCAGTAAAGATGCGTTAGAAATGCTTCGCAGCGGTTAAGTGAGGGGTTGTGGCATCATATCCGTAATAAATATTATGAACATATGACGCAAATCGGCAACGACATGAATTCGTCATGCACTTCAAATATGTTCACAATTTTAGAATTTCTTGTTTTTATGAGTTTGACTTTTTTCAAAATTAATTTCCTATAAATGATGCTAATTTTTAAAAGGCTACTTAACTAATTTGTTATTATATCAGCTACATTGTCAGTAATAATAAAAAAGTAAATATGATAAATTTTTGCATTTACTTTCCGTCTCCATACCTAGTAGCCATGGTGCCACTGAGTCGTTTTCTTTTGCCGATTTTATAATTGTTTCTGGCAGTGGCAACGAATGGCGCACCATCGCTCCATAGAGTCCATACTCGGCCATTATGGTGCTGCGTCCCCAACATTTCTCCGTTTTACGCCATTTGGCACGACGGTTTTGAAACCAAACCTGAAAATGGATAAAAAAAAAAATGAAAAGAGTTTTGTAGTCAAAGGTTTTGATAATACTTATGTAGTAGTAATTTGAAAAATATTTAGTTAAATACACAAATATACTTAAGTAAATGTCATGATAATAACCTTAAACGAAAGTCTTAAGGCCGAGGCGACGCAATGAGCGACAAAACGGCGAGCGGCATTTCTGTATGGCGCCGCTTTGCCGGTCATTGCGTGGTCTCGACCTAAGGCATTCTTTGTTGCAACCAGAAGCATAGCAAGTTTGGCCGCACATCTGTCGCTAAAATAAGTATTCACATAAAGTATCAATTCAGGTTTATGGTTGCTTGGCTTTACGAGATGTTTCGGAACCTGGACCTAACTCCAAGGTGCTCAAAAGTAGCGAGGATCAAATCAATGCGTTGCTCCACGCGCCGAAGTTTAAGCTTTATCGGCACCAATCGGTTACAGGGAACGGACACATTAACCAACCTGGTATGAGTTAAGACCTATCTAAAACCTCTGCCTTACTTTGAGATCGCTAAACGGTTGAAATGCAGCTCTTTATTGAGCTGACACAAGCCAATTCTACCACCACGATAGTCCCCACACCAGTAGGTCTGGTCGCGTTGCAAGAGCATCGTACCACCAGCTGAGCGTTCATACAGTTGGAAGCAGGTAGCCAGGGGCTGAACCCTCATTCACACTCGACATTCCGATTAAAGGGAACCACTCTACTCACATCCAAACACACATCAGTCCAAATACGGACCAGTCAACACGGGGAGCTAGTCCTCCGTGAGAGCCCTACGAATGTAACCTGCTGTCTCGGACAAGCGCCCCCTTCCTGTTTCCCCGCGCATAGAGCACCAAAATCTTGGCTACGCTTAGAGTGTACTCATACATATGTATGTCAAACGATCATTTGAACAATATCCGACTATTCCTTACACATGCATCTAAAAGCCTTTTGTACTACAGATTCCCTTTATTCACGTCATGGTCGGATAATCATGCATTTAAAGGCTGTAGCACGCTGTGTAAGCAAAGAGTCAGGAGACGGAGTACCTAAAAACAACTATAAGCGTCCGTCGAAATATTGCGGCATACAGTCTAGCAATATCACCAGCATAAGCTACGAAGAGACCTCGATATACCTACATACATATAAAACGAAGGGCGCGGCACCCGAGGCCCAAATCAATGCACACGATGCGGTCCCCTTGCTCTACGATTGCCTGCAGCTGCTATTTTACACCCAACAAGTGTGAGGTGAAACAAATTCGTCAATTGAGCCTTATACCTGAGTGAGCCCCATTCGACCGGACAACCCTTGAATGACTCGGTGACAACCTGTCATTCCACCTCAACACCAGGTATCCAACTGTGGACACTTTCAAGAAGTTGCTAGCCAAACTATCCTAAATCCAACCGTAACTGACCTTTCACTGAAAGCAAAAGAAGGAATGCGAATGCGAGTTCTGGATCATACTATAGGAAGTTTTTGTTGTTGTAACAGCAGTGCATAACCCGCCGGAGTTTCGTTACGATTCATCTTCATCCTCCGATTCTGCAAGCCTGATGCCAAGAAAGCAGGCGACGCACAGTGCCGCGACTCCATACAAATGATGGACAAAAATAGAAGGAGTGGTCAGAATTGGCTGAAACTTCACACCTAGAAGTATTATGCCCCTCTAATTTCAAAAATGAAATCGGTTTTTCTGTACCGGTTACTTCTTTCGAGAAAACCGAGTTTTTCTTGCATTTTTATATGAAAATAGTCATTGTGGACATGTGTTGATATAAGTGGAAGGAGGCATCAGAATGGGCTGAAACTTTACACCTGAAAGGACTATATCACGGCAATTTAAGAAAAAAAAACGTTTTTCAGCATCTGTTACCATTTAATTAAAAAAAATTTTTTTTTACAATTTTATAAAAAGGTAAAATAACTCATAATCATCGTAGACATATGTTTATAAAAACCGAAATAGTATTCAGAACTTGTTGAAACTTTACACCTAAAAGGACTAAGCCATGCTTATTTCAAAAATGAAATCGATTTTTCGGTACCGGGTACCCATTAAAAAAAAAAAAATTTTTTTTACATTACTATATGAAAGACAAATAAGGCATAATCATTGCTGATTGTGGTGTTTACGAAAACAGGAAGGAGTCGTCAGAATTTATTGAAACTTTACATCTGAAGTGTCTATATTACTCTAATTTTAAGAAAGTAATCGGTTTTTTTGTAACGGGTACCCATTAAAAAAACACCGAGTTTTTGCACATGATTATTTAAAAATGAAATATGGCATATCATTGTTGCTAAGTGTTCAGAAAAATAGTCTTAATAGTCAAAATTCGTCTAAACTTTACTTCCTAAGTGAATACATTATGGTAATTTGAAAAATTAAGTCGGTTTTCCTTACATGTTAACCTTTAGAAAAAAAAATTCTTTTGATTTCATTTAAAATAAAGCATAATCACTGTTAAGTAAGTAAGTAATAATAGCTGTTATATGGTAATAACATATAATATGTTAATAAAAACCGAACTAGTTGTTATAATCACTCAGTTTCAGAGTCCTCAGAAGAGGAGGAAGTGATCACTGATTCAAATGATTCCATGCTTTTGTCTGCTTCGTCACTTTCAACAATGTATTTATTAAAGCTGAGATCAGAACCCTTTAAATATTTGTTTCTCTGTTTTATATTTCTTTTAAATGCAACTAATGGATCTGACGATAATATCAAACGAGTCATTAAATCCGTATTGCTTTGTACTCTTCCAGTTTTTCGAGAATGATTAAGCCGATATTTTCTTATGTTTTTGTGTGAACATTCTAAGGCTTCTTCTGATAATGAACCTGATAAAATAGGTGGAAATACAGATTAAGAAAATAAATGAAAACATAGCTTTAAAATCATTACCTATTGGTAAATCAAAGTATTTAATTACATCACATCCATGTACTAAAACTTTATGCACTGAACTTGGCCTGTTATACCAACCATAATTTCTAAGGTATAACTCTCTTGTTTCGTTCAACAAAACACTAAACTCTTGGGTTTTTATTTGTTTTCCACAAGAGAGGACTCTTAGCACCAGAGAAAAATTATGGATTAGAGACTTATCCAGACGAGTAATTTCTGCGGCAACGTCAATATTTTCAAAAAAACGTCGAGCTGTGTTTCCATCATTTGTTGTTCCAAACCCTTGCTTGACTTGGTCAATTATCAAACCTGTTTTAATTTTGAACTCTTTTTGGATACGGGCTTTAGTTTCAATAAATTTAGCCTTATTTTCCATTCTGACTTGCCATGTCTTAAAAGGCAGACGGTAGGCTATGTGTAATAGACATTCAAAGAATCGAATCCAGCAATGGAGGGTTGATAACCCAAATTTATAATGATCTGGATTTGGTATTTTGTTTTGTTCAATATTATTCATTTCTGTTGGGCTTGCATGACATATGAAACATCTGCTTGAGGAATTGGTGTTTGTTAAAACATTAGCTACTGCACCGTCAATCATAGTGCAATGCATGATGTAGGAAACTTCAGCAATTCCCTTCTTATTTTTAAAAATATCACATTCCAAATCATTAATCATCTGAATTATTTTATTATATTCTGAATGAATTACCGCCTTTCCTTCTTTCGTATAAACGAATTTCACTGGTCTACAGAACAGCGTAGAAGAGGGAGTTCGGTTGACCCATATTTCATTACCTGATGAGGAATCGATGAGCCTTAAAATGTGAAAAAATTTGGAAAATAGAGAATAGATACATAAGAAAATAATTGATTTTATACGAACTTAAGTGGTAACAAAGCAATTACGAAAATAAATTCATCTGAGAGGTCTTCCGCGGAGAATTTTTGCTTATATCGACTGTGGCCAGAACTGCCATCCATTCCCCATTTACATATAAGTGAAAGTTTGCCCACTGGGTGTTTGTCTGCACAAACTTCTAAGATGTGTTTGGATGTAATATGTACAAGAGCCTTTAAATTAACTTCTGCTGAAGTTTCCGTCGCTTCTATATGTGGTACTAAACTTTGTTTTAATTGGTTTAACGCATACGTGCTTGGGAAAAAATCCGCATGTATATTGTTAGCAACTTTGCGTAGTCTATTATATTTTTCTTCCGATAAATCTAAATCTAAACACAAGGCCAGCGCTTCAAAGGGTTCAAGACACTTCTTTATAGTGTTATCAGGCTTCGTTTCATTTTTTGTTACTTTCCGTGCTGCATAAGTAATTTCTTCCGCACTATGTTCTTCAAGTATTTTACTAACCTTTCGCAATTTTTGATATGTCAAATACAATTTATTCATGAAATTTTGAACTCGCGTTGAGCAACATTTTCCACTAATAGTAAAACGTTGAAATTTTTGCACAGGTAATGTAATTACTTAGGTGAACAAAATTATAAAAAGACTCAATCAAAAAAAAAAAAATATAAAAAAATTGGACCTCCCTGATGTGCATACATTTGTACTATCATTTTCGCAAGCTGTTTTTGTTTGCTGCTTAAGCAAAATAGTACTCTTTATGCAGATGAAGAGTAATAGGTATGTTATTTATTTTTATTTTCTTTTTGTTCGCCTTTCGTCTAATCATTGGGCGCTGTAAGGTGTCTCGATTGCATTTATTTCCTTACCCGAATTGGTTAACATATTATTTGTAAACTGGTGTCATTGCTCTATATATATATATATATATGTATATATATATATATGTAAATCTTCGTATACCTTTGTTTTTGGCTCCCATACCGTGATGCATATTTAAGTATTTTAATTAGCTGATAATTTTTTTCATTTCAAAGCACCCTGTACCTCTTAATTTTTTTTTTGGCACTTTTAGCTTTAATTCAACACCTTATTTTTGAAAAGCGAACCAAAAATTTAGATCTTAGGGCATTCAGAAAAAGTATTGTAAATATAGATCAGCTAAAATAATACCAAAAAAAGGCATTTAGTCACTTTTTCAAAATTGAAAATT